GGGAGGAGGGAGGCAGGGAGGGAGGGAGGAGGGAGGGGGGGAGGGAAGAAGCCTAGTAGAGATACTGGAAAAGGAGCAGGGCTTGGACCAGGGGAAAGAGAGGGAGCCAAGGCCTAGGGACCCTCTGATTTTAATCACTTCTTTCTTTAAATGTCTTTAGCCTCCAAGGGCCAATGGGAATATCAACCTGGGGACTTCGGCCAACCCAAAGTGAGTTCTCATCTCTCATATAACTTTCCTCCCTGGCTCCCCTCATACCTGGCTCCCTCCTCACCTTGGGAATATAATCCAATTCTCTGGTCCAGCGTCAAGATCCTCTGCCGTCTGGGCCTAGGACCGGCCCCTAGCTTCATCTCCCACTAATTCCCCAGCCTCTGCCCATGCTGAGCCCTGTGGCTGAAGCACTCCCCCAAAGTCTGCATTACTAGCAGCTCCCCACCCTCCAGGCCCTTCTCAGTCTTTGGAGGTCAGATTCCTTTGCCTTCTATGCTGTTGCGTCTGGTTTTCTCCCGACCTTGTCTGTTTTTACACGATTGTGAGATCCCCAGGGGCAGGGGCCAGTCTTATAAGACCCTCTTGGCTGGGAGAACATGGCGTTCTTAGAAAGCTCCCTGCCTTCTCCAGCTTCAAAGTTAAAAAGAAGCTCTGATTTGAACTAACGCATCAAGTTTCCCAAGCTTGCAAATGCTGACCCGTGTTCCTCCCTCGTCCCCCAGTGCCCGGCCCACCGACTTCGACTTCCTCAAAGTCATTGGCAAAGGAAACTACGGGAAGGTGAGTGACCTGTGAGCATGGAAGGCCTGGGTCTCCCCTTCTCTGGCCATGCAGAGAGGGAGCTTACAACCTGCAGAATCATGGGCGCAGGACAGGGGCTGGAGGCCTGCACTGCCATCGAGAAATACAAAGCCTGGAGGAGTAGTCACCACAGGTTCTGCATTTGTCTTTCTGCTCAGGTCCTACTGGCCAAGCACAAGTCCGACGGGATGTTCTACGCAGTGAAGGTTCTACAGAAAAAGTCCGTCTTAAAGAAGAAAGAGGTACCAGGGCTTGGGCCCAGGCATCTCCTCTCCTGCTTCTTGACAGCCCCCCGCCCCCAGCCTCAGGTGGCTTCCAAAGATGCGTCCCAACTCTGGGCACAGAGATGGCCCAGCAGGGAGGCCAGGTGGTGCCCGGGATGCTGACCCTTCTCCAGGAAGGCAGGCTAACCGCCTTACCCCAAGGGCCTACAGGTAACCCGGCCCGGCTCTCTGCTTTCCCCTAAAGATTCAGGGCTCCATGGTGGACCAGTTCTCTGCTCTGTCAGGTGCCGGCCTCCCAATCTGTGCAACGTGGGGGTCACACTTCAGGCTCTCCAAAGGCCACCCAGAGTCCTGGATGCTAAGCAAGGAGCCTGGGCTTGGCTCTGAGGGCAGTGAGGAGTCACAGTGGGTGTTTGAGCAGGGGCACGAGAAGGTCCTGGGTGAGGTGGCCGTGTAGGCGGTGACATGGCCCGTCTGTGTGACTCTGCAGCAGAGCCACATCATGGCGGAGCGCAGCGTGCTCCTGAAGAACATGTGCCACCCCTTCCTCGTGGGCCTGCGCTACTCCTTCCAGACGCCAGAGAAGCTCTACTTTGTGCTGGACTATGTCAACGGGGGAGAGGTGGGTATAGGTCCACCTGGCGCCTTCCCTGCCCGGCTGTCAGCAGGAGCTGTCCATCCCACATGCTCATGGTGCCCCAGGTCCTAGAACAATCTCCCCTCAACCTTACAACAGACCCATTTTGCAGCTGAAAAAAACCGAGGCTTGGGCAGGTAACTCACTTGCTCAAGGCCACTCAGCCTGTACCCGGCAGAGCCAGGATTTGAAGGCAGGTCTATCGAACTCCCAGCCATTATCATTACTTGACTTCCAAGCAGAGCTGCCCAGAATCCCTTCAGTGGACCTGGGAAAAGTCAATGTTAGAGGAGCTCTGTGGTCAGTATTCCTAATGCCCCCATCTTACACCAAAGACCACTGCATGGGAGTGACCAGTCCCTGTGGGAATGATCTGAGGCCACCTGGTGCCCCAGAAGCACAGCTGGGATAAGCTGGGCTCCCCCTTCTGCCTCTCTGAACAAGATGACAAGATGGCCCTTCTCAGTGACCCCAGATTTAACCTGTGTGACCTCATGCTCCTTAGCCTGGTGCCAAGAGGGAAGTTTTTGTCCTGCATCCCTAAATTCCCTGGTGGAGGTAAAGGGCTTTCTTTGCCAGCCAAATAGACCAAAGCAACTTGCCCGGGAGCAGATCTAACCTAGGCTCAGTTTGACCATCATAATCATTTTATCACCTGGGTTGGAGGAAAAGCACATCTTTGACACATCCGGGTTCACATCACAGCTCTGCCAATTACAGTACGTGACCTTGGGCAAGTCACCTGACTGCTCTGACCCTTCCAGTTTCCTCTTCTGTGAAACTGGCCTCCTACTTGATACCTGGAAGGTAGTCAGGAAGATTAAGGGAGATTAGAGACGTGAGAGGGTCTGGCTGGAGCCTGAAACTCAGTAGGTGGTCCACCCCTGCTAATTCATCTTTCCTGCTG